CGAATGCAATAATCATACTGTAAATGTATAGAATATAGATGCTAACTTTTCTACTTGTGGGAAAAAATATATTTGGAAAATTAAAAAAAAAAAAAAAAAAAAAAAGGAAGAAAAATAATAAAATTGAATAATCAAGGACAAGTTATATCATCCCCAGGAAAACTATTGAACTTACTATCAAGTGAATTAGAATCGAGCTTATAATTGTGACACGCGGATGGGCCCGATGGAGGAACGAGGCCTCGCGGTAGTCGATTCTCGAGCAAAGTTTCCATAACCCTAGTTTTCATCATTCTTCTGCTTTCTCCTCTCGAAGCCATTGTTATACATAGAAATAATAAAATCAAAGCAACCTTCTTATCGATTACACAAAGTCTCTCATTTTGCAGCATCCTTTTCTTTTCTTTTTTTCTTTGTCGATCTTCGAGACCCCGTTTCTATTGCACGATCGCAAGGAAAGTATGAACTAAATACTTGTGTTTTTTTTTTCAGAAAGAAAAGTTTTGATTATATATGGAGAAAATGGAGGATTTTGATGATGAATATAATGTATTAATTATATATAAATAGGAATTTAGGCGCCGGAATTGAAGAAAAAAATGGTTATCTATTTATTTATTAAATTAATTAAAAAAAATGGTTATTTGGAAGTAAAAAAAAAAATGTCGTGTGTTGAGCAATATGGATTGACTTTGAATTTTTATTGCAATGGCAGACAATTTGGAGTACTAAAAGGTGATTTTGGGGTTTGAATTTTTGAATTATTTAATTTAATTTATTAATTCAACGACCACTTATATTAGTCATATGCAATTATGCATGCTTTATATTTTGAGACTATTATGTTTTTTTAATTAAAATTTGAAATTCTCACGTTACAGGGATGAATTAACTCTTCCGGCAGCTAAAAAGTAAAAAACAGTTGACATTTTGCAGCATGAAAAGTTTGAATAGGATTTTTTTGACAATTTGACAATTTTGCATATCGATTGTTATTATAATTGTTTAAATAGGTTTCTAAATTAATATTTCGTAAAAATAGTAGGTTTTTAAGTTGTATTTTTGTTGGTTGCAAATATTATTTTTAAATTACAAACTTTATTTATTGAAAAAAGTCTTAATTTATTAAAAATAATTCTAACAACGGAATATTCCATCCGTTTTAAAAACGATTCCGTAAAAGTTAAGAGGTTTATACATCAAGGGATGATAACGAGATGAATTATAGAGATGAATGTTGAAAATGAGATAATTGATACATGAGGGACTAAAATGAAACTAAATGTAAAGATGAGGGACCATTAATGAGATTTGGCAAAAAGTAAAAAAATAGTTGTTCCATGTTATTGGTACATTTCTGTAGTGGGCCAAGTGAGATGGGCTTTTGGATCAATACATGTAGTTCTAATAGGACAATCAAATGGGTTTGAAATAAAGAGTACATTTGGGACTTTAATTAATATAGTACATTATTTTTTCTGAAATGCTAAATGTCGTTTCAATTTTACTAATGTCATTTTAACTTCGAACCTGATTTTCACATATTTCTATTTTGATTTTGGCAAAATTCGAAACACCAGAATTGTAGTCCTTTGGGTTAGCTTTCTAATCCAACTTAAATCCGCTAGATTGGATGTCGTGTGACAAAGTTATGCATGAATGAGTCATATTTTGAATTTTAGATACCTCAATACATCAAAGTTGTGGGCAATATCCATTGATTCATGTATATCTTTCTCATCCGACATCCAATTTTGGTGATTCAAGTTAGATCAGAAAACTAACTCAGAATACTACAAATTCTATTTTTCGGGTTTTGCAAAATTTTGAATTAAAAATAATCAAAATCACGTTTGAAGTCGAAACGGTGTTATTAAAACTCGAACGACATTTATCACGTCCCTTATTTTTTTCTTCATATAATATTACGTTGTTTTAATTAAGGGAAAATAATTGTCTCTTAATATATTTTCTTTCTCCTATTGTCATTTTCCAATAGCAAAATTTGGAGGAATTCTTGAAATTTGTACAAGTAAATGTATCACATGAAACTTGAAAGATTCTGCCTTTTTGGCCTCTTTGAGACTATTAGTGAAGTTGACCAGTCTTTACCCCTCATATTTGACCAATTTTATTGTCACACGGAATTAATTAGAATGTCAAGTTCTTTCAATTTAATTTAGAAATTATTTTTAAAAAATTGCGTGAAATACAAACAGTATATATGAATGGTAAATATCTACCCGATGTAGTATATTATAAATTCTAATAACTGATATAACATCAATAGTTACCGGGGTTGTAAAAGGCAGGAATGGCGTCGCAGGCGGTTGGGCGCACTGTCTCGCGATTAATTGGCTTGGTGGTGATTAATCGGGATAAATCGGTTTTCCACTGGCGTGATCTTTGCCACCAAAGTTTGACCGCCTCATAGACTAAAATCCGATTCTAAACATTACACTGAAATCGACCGCCTTCGCCTTGAAGACCGATTAATCAACCGTCTCGCCCGATTTTTTATTACTAACACTAGTCATTGTGAAAAGTGTTTAATGTCAAAAGTACAATGGAGTAAGATAAATACACATCTCTCTTAGTGGGATTGATGTACAATTCAAGAATCAAATGATAAGAAATTTGTAGCGTATATTTTGGTGATATGGAGATGAGTCACATATGATTATTATTATGAAGAAAAAAATAGTGACAACCAATAATTATACTAAAAAACAACTATAGCGTATAGTATTAGTGTTACTTTATTGAGTGGGGAGCACACACTATTATTGTAATTGGTAAATACAAAATTGCCAATTGATGTAACACATAACATTAGGCCCTAGCTATCCAAGGTTTTATATAGTATAACAAATATGGATTAAAATTTTATTTAATGAATTTTTTATTTTTTTAATAGGAAATTAAATAAGAAAAAAGCTGCCAGGTCACATCGTCCTACTAATTATCCAATCCAATCTCAGGTGGAGCCACAGCCACCTCATATTTCACTAACTTATTAATTGCTTTTCTCAGATTATAAAGGTATTTCAACATTTAAAATACCAATAAATATTAGAGTATATATATTTTTCTTTTCTTTTTTTTTCTGAAAAAGGAGTATATATATTTTTCTAAAGTGTACTATGTTTTTTTTTTATTATTTGTATTTATTACTATTATATAATATTAATATGTATTAGGACCAAAGAAACGAGAATGGATAAAATTAGGAAGACGAAATAAGGTTGCTTGGAAATTAGGCAGCTTGATAATTATTAAAGTTTTGCAATGAAACATTTGAAATTGAAAACATATATTAATTTACAAGGTAAGTCACGGTCACCTCTGAGGTAAAGTCATATTACAAAAATACCCCTCCCATTTGAGTAGTTACAACCACTTCTATCAGCTATGAATTTTCTTACACGTTCACTTTATGGTGTCAAATTCAACAGAACCTTCTTGATTCCGTGGAATGTTGTCTAATTTGTACTCGTTTTGTGCAAAAAGTTAGGTTTAGATGCACCACATTCCTGATATTTACAAGCCAAGAGACATATTTTATGATCATCTTATTTCAAAATGTAGAACTCGAATAGGTAAAACAGATATAAACTAGAGAATATTTCCACATTATCTAGAAGATTCAACTAAATTTAAAATCCAATTGTGGATGTGTAAGATGATTCGTAAATGAGGAGTGTGGTTGTAATTATTCAAAGATGAACGATTTGTTTGTAATTTGTTCTTATCCCAATGATGACTTGTAATTTATCCTAGGCTTAGCAGAAAGTATGAAAGATAACTTGCAATTTGGTGGATGCCATTCTTGAAACTGCATGTGAAATTCTACATCTTAATAAATACTCCATTATGCATGTGATTCATAAATATATAAAAAAAATATTAATATATGTAATATTAATCCACACATGAATAAACCAATATTCAATACCTAAAGGGTATATTACGACCACAGCCCTTACGTAAATTTAAATTACGAAAAAATTATTCATGTTTGGGTAATTATAATCCAACATTTTAACTGTGAATCTTCTTACATATCCACCGTTGCGATGTCAAATTTAGTGGAATCTTCTAGATTATGTGGAATATTCTTCAGTTTGTACTCGATTTATTTCATTCGAGCTCCACATTTTAAAACAAAATGATCATAAGATGTGTCTTTTGACTAGTAAATATCAAATTGTGGTGCACCAGAAACTGTAATTTTGCACAAAAACGATTACAAAGTAAAGAATATTCCACGGAATCTAGAAGATTCTGTTGAATTTGACACCATAAATGTAAACGTGTAACAATATTTATAGTTGTGAGAGGTGATTGTAATTACCCGAACACGAGGGGTCTTTTTCGTAATTTACCGAAAAGTAAATGATGCTGCTGATTTAGCAGCCAAAATATTTTAATTCCATGACACTGTTTCTGGCCAATTGCATCCACGAACATTCAATTCCCCCATTATTAAAATGGAATAAAGAATTCAATAACCTATTAAAGATTATTACAACAAGAGTAATAATAATTAAATAGACGGATTTCCATTCCATTATCATAACATGAAATCCTAAGAAAGATAAAGTTGACAGAGATAGATACATGCATTCATGCGTATATATGTTTAGAGAGAGAGAGAGAGAGAGAGAGAGAGAGAGAGAGAGAGGTGTGTAAAAGTTGTAAAGGCAGACGAACACTCACATGTATGAGAGTATATTTGTACGAATATTTTAATGCAGCAGCTGTGGAGTGAAAGTGAGTTGCCCGTAAAGATGGGGAGGAGAGAGAAACATGAGTTGTTTTCCTTCTTCTTCAAGAACCAGATTTTGGCTATGGAGATTCGAGCCACCATTGCTAGAAATGAAACCACCTTCCTTTTCTTACTCTTCATCCTTTGATTCTGTGTAATAAATCCCAGATATTTTTTTTCCTCTTCTTTCCTTTTCAAAATCTCTCTCTCTCTCTCTCTCTCTCTCTCTCTCTCTAGTTTCTCTCTCTACAAGTTTACACATTTCTTGATTTTCCTTGATCTGGGTGTGCGTTATTTTTCCTTTTTGGGTAAAAGAAATTAAGCAATTGGGTAATTCAAGAATTTTTTCTTGATTGTATGGTTTACTGTTTGATTGATGCAAAAATCAACCTAAAATCTTGATTTCGTGGCTATTCAATTTCTGGATCTTGGATTCTGTTTGATGAAAGAATCAGTCTTGTTGAAGTCTAGTGTTCATGATTCTGGGATTGGTTGAGCTAATTAGGGTTTCAGGGGATTTGAATTCGTTCGAGGATTTAAGATTAACCCCCCTTTAGTGTTTGTGTGATACAAATTAGGGTTGATTTTGTCTGAATTTCTTTTGAGGCAATTTGAATTTCCCCCCCATTTGTTGATATTTTATCCGATTCTTGAGGTGGGATTTGTGCTTCTCTGTTTTCTTTTCTTCATCTCAGTTAAATTGAAAAATAAAAAAAATATATATATATACATACTAACCAAATTAGGAGGAAAAAAAACCCATCTTTTTATTGTGGGTTTCGATAGTTTTGGATAGATAAATTTTCGGTTTCGGAAAATCAAAATCGAATTTTTGTAACTGTTTAGAGCACAAAAAGTGTTTTGGTGCTGGTCTATGGGAATACCAGATAGTTCACTGGTGGATTTGATCGACAAGTTTAAATCTTGGATTTCTTGGAGAAATAGCGATTCGAATTCCATGTCGATTTCTGACAACAACTGTGGAATGAACTTATCGAATTCTTGCATCGAACACCGTTGCGGGAAGTGTGTCTTAAAAGAGACGAACGAGGCTGCGTTTGATATCAAGACATGTAATCTTTGCTTAGAACTTATCGGTCCCGTAAATAGAACCTTCCGAAGAATCTATCCTTGTGAATTCTCGAGACAAAGCCCAGAACCACCGTCACCGAGTTTTAGTGGTGACACGTCTGATGGTCTGAGTCGAATTAGTGACGAGTCGTTTTCAGACAATCCGTCTCCTGTATCTGTTCATCGGTTGACAAACAGGTACACCTTACAATACTCTCTCGGATAATATGAATCTTGATCGTTGTTCTATTATTATTAATATTAATAATAGATGAAAAATTTCTAATATCAAGAAAGTTCTAAGGGATCAAAATTCTTGAAGATCGTAAAATTTTTGGTTCAAAAGTTCGGTTTTCTTGGGTTAAGATTTTACGATATTATGTTGTTATTGTAGGTGTGATGAAGAGGGAGAAGATACGAGTCACTTTTTCACCTCGTCAAATGAATACTTCGACGATACTTCTGACATAGATTCTGTTATTAGTGTTAGTGCTAGACACAGTTTTTACGGTTTTACGTCTGTTGGATCGAGTCCATCAGAAAGCCCCTCTCGGAAAAATATTATTACTTCCGACACTTTAATCGGGCATTTTGTACAGCAGCAAGTTTTAGAAAAGCCTGCTAAACGAACGTGTGATCCACCACAACCATTGGATTTCGAAATCAACGGTGCGATTTGGTTTCCTCCTCCTCCTCAACCGTACGATGATGATGTCATCGACAAGGTGGGAAGCAGTTTCTTTACGTACGACGACTCGGATAATGAAGTAGTTGAGGACTCGAGAGCTGCTGTGCAAGGCCATTTCGAAGGGATTGTATCGGAGCTTTTACGAGGGGAGGGTTTAATGTGCAATGAACAGAACTCCGAGGACTGGTTATGTATATTAACAAGAATAGCGTGGCAAGCGGCAAATTACGTAAAGCCCGATACTAGTACAGGTGGCAGCATGGATCCTTGTGACTACGTAAAGGTCAAATGTGTAGCCTCGGGCAAACCAAGTGAGAGGTAAATGTTTTTTTCGAAATATTTCGTAACCATTTATCGGGTTTTCAGACAGTGACTAAATAGTTCGATTTTTTTTTTTTTTTTTTTTTAATGCAGCAAACTTATCAAAGGAGTAGTTTGTACGAAGAATATAAAACACAAACGTATGACATCACAATACAAAAACACTCGAATATTACTCTTGGCAGGATCACTCGAGTACCAAAAATCTTCCGATCACCTATCGTCTTTCGATAGATTATTACAGCAGGTTTTTAAGGACCCCACTTTGTTTCTTTTTTTTTTTTTTTTTTTTTTTTTTTGCAATAAAGTAATAAAATAAAAAAAATTATTGAATCAGGAAAACGATCATCTGAAGATGATCGTTTCGAAGATAGAGGCCCACCGACCGAATGTACTTCTCGTCGAGAAGAGCGTGTCTTCGTTTGCTCAAGAACAACTATTGGCAAAAGAAATCTCGTTAGTTCTAAACGTTAAAATGCCGTTGCTCGAGCGGATTTCAAGATGCACCGGTGCTATGATAACTCCGTCTATCGATCATATCTCCACTGCAAGATTAGGGCAATGCGAGCTCTTCCATTTGGAGAAGATATCAGAAAATCACGAGGTGGTCAACCAATTAGTCAACAAAAGAACGTTGAAAACCTTAATGTACTTCGAAGGCTGTCCAAGGCGATTGGGTTGCACGGTAATACTATTAGTTTTACGCCTCCCAACGCATCATCGAATTATTTAATTTAATTTTTTAAATTTAATTTTTATAATAGGTTGTACTGAGGGGTACGTGTGACGATGAACTCAAGAAAGTGAAGAAAGTGGTCAAATACGCAGTCTTTGCAGCGTACCACTTGTCGCTCGAGACCTCGTTTTTTGCAGATGTTTCTAAAATGACTTCCGATAACAGCAAGCAAGAAGAAAATGACGATGCTTCTATTGCCGCGGACGAAATAAACGAAGCTTCTGAACTAGCAACTGTCGAAAAATCAGATGATTCCGACGAAGGATCGAGTGTAAATAACAAGAGCATCCTAGTTTCTCTCTCTAGCCACTGCACACTCAACGGGACTGTGTGCGAACGCTCCCGCCTCCTCCGTTTAAAATTCTACGGCCCTTCTGATAAACCGTTAGGGAGATATCTCAGAGACGATCTCTTCGATAAGGTTAAAAATTCAATCTTTGTTTCGGCCTTAATATACATTAAAAATTCTTTACGGGTACTAAAGATTCAATCTTTCTCTGATTTTGTGCTTATACTCGTGTCGTTTTTTTTTTGCTATTTTTGTGGCAGTTGTACAGCTGTCGATCGTGCAAAGAATCAAGGGAAGCACATGCGATACGGTACACTCACCCACAGGGGAATTTGACTGTGAAAGTCAAAAGGGTTTCTTCGATTAGGCTGCCCGGGGAAAGGGAAGGGAAGATATGGATGTGGCAGAGATGTTTGAAGTGCACGCATGTCGAGGGGGTCCCACCTGCCACACGGAGGGTAGTTATGTCCGATTCCGCATGGGGGCTTTCTTTCGGGAAGTTTCTAGAACTTTGCTTTTCGGACCGTGCTTGTGGTGATCATGTTGCCAGCTGTGGCCATTCTCTGCGGAGGAACTGTCTCAGGTTTTACGGGTGCGTAATACTTATTCGCTTTCGATTCTTGTTTTTTCAACATGTCTCGGGTTTTGTTGGAATGACTTAATCACCCTCCACTGTTGCAGGTTTGGGAATATGGTGGCTGTTTTCCAATATTCGCCTGTTAACATCCTTGATGTTTGTTTGCCGCCTCCGATTCTGAATTCTGTTGTG